CACATGGGGAAACTTTTGAGTCGACTCAAAAGTCACCTCGTTACTATGGCACACGACATTTTTTCATCAAGGAGAGCTATAATCGCATGGAGATTACCTAAGAGAGTTGGCAGTTATTTGATTTCTGCTAATAAGTGTTAGACTACAGTAGTTTTGTTGCTGTTACACTTTTTCTCTCATCTCGCTTTTGCCTGTTGTTCCCGTACTCGCCGCAGCGAAGATTTCCCGCGCGGGCCTGAGTCTAGGATGACATTTTCTAGGCATATAAAGTAGTACGCGTTCAGTAGATCGCTTGTGGTCTGAAGAAGGCATTTTAGCCGAAACCGGTTACCACCGTGATTTTTATACAAGCATTTTTTACAAAGTACTACTGACATTTTACAGGTGTTGAACCCAAGTTGCTGCCACGTATTAAAGCAATGGCACCTAACTGGTGTCCACTTCCGCGGACCGGGCTGTATGAGTGGTTATACATGCCCTTCGGCCTGCGGAATGCCTCGGCCAGTGTTTCAGAGAGTTATGGATGCGGTGCTGCGGGGGATTGAACATGCAGCATGCTACATTGATGATGTGGTCATCTTCAGCCAGACAGAGCAGCAGCACCTTGAGGACGTGGAGCGGACCCTGAGTGCAATAGAGGAGGCAGGCTCACCTGTCATCCCACAAGTGCAGGTGGGGGAAGCGGACAGTGCAGTACCTGGGGTATGAAGTTCAGGAGGACAGATCGGGATTCAGCAAGCAAAGGTGCAGGTGCTGGACAGGCTGAGGGAACCCAGGACAAGACAGGGCCTGCGCGCAGTCTTGGGCTTCCTCAGCTACTACAGGCGCTTCGTGCCTAACTTCAGTAAGCGGGCGGCAGTGCTGAACGGGATGCTGCGAGAGGACAAGGTATGGGAGTGGGGGAGAACAGCAGAGGGAAGCACTGCAAGACCTCATGACAGCCGTGAAGAACAGCAACCGTGCTGCGGCTGCCAGCAGCAGACCAGCCCTTCGTCCTCTACACCGATTGGAGCAGCCAGGGGATGGGGGCAATCCTGTGCCAGGAAGTGGAGGGAGTGGAAAAAGTGGTAGCCTACGCCAGCAGGAGCTGCAACCCCGCAGAGGCGCAGTATAGCTCATACATAGGGGAGGGGCTGGCGGCCGTGTGGGCGGTGGGGCATTTCAGGGTGTACCTGCAGGGCCGCGAGTTCACACTGGTCACTGACCATCAGCCCCTCACTTGGCTGATGACCACACCAGGGCTGACGGGAAGAAACGCAAGGTGGGCAGTGAAGCTGCAAGAATATGATTTCCAGATCAGGCATAGGCCGGGGAAGACGCTGCAGCACGTCGACGGTCTCTCTCGCAACCCACCACCGCTGGAATCAGGACAGAGAACACAGGGGACGGAAGGGACGGAGCTGGAGCCAGCACACACCTTGATCATGCTGGTGAGAGAAGCGGAAGAGGTCGGAGCCAAGGGGAGCAAGGGACCAGCCGACATCCTGGCAGGACGAGAAGGCAATGCGGTGGGTGAAAGGAGAAACAGAGGAAGACGAGACAGTGTCAGAAAGAGTGCGGGCACGGGGGCACCACTACAGGTGGTATCAGCGGCAGCTGCAGATCAAGACAGAGGACGGGTGGAAGCTAGTGCCTGCACCCACGGACCGTGAAGCAGTGATCAAGGAGGTGCACACGAAGCTGGGACACTTCGGGCACGAGAGGACTGTACACCTGCTGAAGACAGGCTGGTGGTGGGAAGGGATGCGCAAGCAAGTGAAAGAGTGGGTGGAGGGGTGTGAGGCGTGTCAGAGGAGCAAGGCAAACTTAACGCAGGCCAAAGCAGAACTGCATTCACTGCCGATTTGCGGGTTGGGATTCCGATGGTCCTTGGACCTCGCGGGAGAGCTGCCGCTCAGCAGGAGCGGAAATCGGTACATCGTGTTCATGGTGGAGCATGCGAGCAAGTGGTTGGAGGTGAAAGCCATCCCCAGCAAGAGCGCGAGGCACATAGCAGCAGCCTTCAAGGCGCAGGTGGTGTGTCGCTTTGGAGCGTGCGGGGAGGTACTCACGGATCAGGGGACGGAGTTTCTGGGGGAATTTGAGAAGCTGCTGAAGGAATCCGGCATAGCGCACAGAAAAACCTCCCGCTACCACCCACAAAGCGACGGGCTGACCGAGCGAGCGGTGCAGACCTTCAAGCGGGGGCTGCGGGCCTATGGGGAGCAGAGGAAGAGGGACTGGGATGAGGAGCTGGATTGGATAGCCGCAGGGTACAGGTTCGGGAAGCAGGCAGCACTCAAGGACCACTCCCCGTACAGCCTCCTTTACGGAAGAGAGCCAATCCTGCCAGTGGAGGCACCACGGGTACTGACAGACACGGTGACAGCAGGCACGATCAAGAACTGGGTGGCCCTGTCCGAGGTGAGAGCGCGCTACATGCGCTACATGCTGCCAGCGGCACTGGAGAACCTGCACACTGCACAGCTGAGGGACGCAAGGAGGTACGAACAGAGGCAGCGCAAGGGAGAGGGGGCGAGTGGCAAGAGGCGTCTGTGAAGGGCAGGAGGTGTACCTCAAGAGGGCAAAGCAAGACACCCTGGATGTGGGGCTGGGTACGGTCCGCTGGAAGGTCAAGGAGGTGCGCCCTTCAGGGGTGCTGGTCCTGGAGAATGACACGGGGGCGCAAGTGAAGGAGCATCAAACGAACACTGCCGTGATCAGAGGCAGCGGGCCTCAGCGCAACGGTCCTGTGACCCGCGCTCAAGCTGCGCGAGCACGGGCACAGGAGGGGGCAGAGAGTGGCTGAGGCAGCAGAAGGAACGAAGGAGAGGCAGAGCAGGAGAATCAAGGCAGAGAAGAGCATAGCGGTAACTCCGACAGCTGTCACCGAATATGTACGTTTGTGCATATAAGGTGCCAGTATGATTGTGGTGTAGAAAGGGTGTAGTAATGTGTTGTATTTGTTGTATGCAGGCTCAAGGATGGGTAGGTGGGAGGCTGGGAAATTGACGCGAAGTTGGTAGGAGAACACCAGGGGGTGAAATCCTCGCGACCAATGGGAACAAACCCAACCCAGGCTCAAGCCGCACATTGAGAAATGCACGGCTCGAGCCAGGGACAGGTAAGTTCACTCTCACACACACACACAATGCTTTCTGTTTGTTATCCTTTCGTATAGTGGACAGTTGTTACCTCAGATTTGCCTACAGGTGGCACACCACTCAGAGAGGACCTTTGAGGTGAGAGTTACCACTCTTTCATAATGAGAGTGGCTGAGGCAGCAGAAGGAACGAAGGAGAGGCAGAGCAGGAGAATCAAGGCAGAGAAGAGCATAGCGGTAACTCCGACACCTGCCTCCTGCCACTGCTCTGCCCCCGCAGCTGGTTGGACAACAACAAGATTGAAGGCTCTCTGCCGACTGGCCTGTGCTCATTGCCATTGATTTTCCTGCGAATTCTTTGCCTGCCACTGCTCTGCCTACCATTTGCTCTTCATGCCTCCTGCCTCCTGCCAATGCTCTGCCCCCGCAGCTGGTTGGACAACAACAAGGTTGAAGGCTCTCTGCCAACTGGCCTGTGCTCGCTGCCCCTGCTGTGGCGCTTGTGAGTGGTCGTGGCGCTTGGCTGTGGGGCATTACTGTTTGTTTTTTTTATTATTATTATTATTTCCCAGCTAGGATAGACAGGCTGTCGCTTATTGCAAGCAGTTTTGTATATTTGCTGAACACATAAAGCTAGAAATTATCAGCATAATATCTCTCCATGGTGTGTTGCCATTTTGTATGGGTGTATGACTCATGGTGCAGCATGTGTTGTGCTGCTGTGCTGGCAGCATGATCAGCAACAACTACCTCTATGGACCCCTGCCAGACTGCCTCTTTGACAAGTGCATCAACCAAATGTGAGCCGACCATGCATACACTATTCTCTCATGCGTAGATGCAACAGCTCGCACCCCCAACATGGGCACTGCATCGAGTGATGAAATGCATCGAGTGATGAAATGCATCGAGTGATGAAATGCATCGAGTGATGAAATGCATCGAGTGATGAAATGCATCGAGTGATGAAATGCATCGAGTGATGAAATGCATCGAGTGATGAAATGCATCGAGTGATGACATGCATCGAGTGATGAAATGCATCGAGTGATGAAATGCATCGAGTGATGAAATGCATCGAGTGATGAAATGCATCAAGTGATGAAATGCATCGAGTGATGAAATGCATCGAGTGATGAAATGCATCGAGTGATGAAATGCATCGAGTGATGAAATGCATCGAGTGATGAAATGCATCGAGTGATGAAATGCATCGAGTGATGAAATGCATCGAGTGATGAAATGCATCGAGTGATGACATGCATCGAGTGATGAAATGCATCGAGTGATGAAATGCATCGAGTGATGAAATGCATCGAGTGATGAAATGCATCGAGTGATGAAATGCATCGAGTGATGACATGCATCGAGTGATGAAATGCATCGAGTGATGACATGCATCGAGTGATGACATGCATCGAGTGATGAAATGCATCGAGTGATGAAATGCATCGAGTGATGAAATGCATCGAGTGATGAAATGCATCGAGTGATGAAATGCATCGAGTGATGACATGCATCGAGTGATGAAATGCATCGAGTGATGAAATGCATCGAGTGATGACATGCATCGAGTGATGAAATGCATCGAGTGATGACATGCATCGAGTGATGAAATGCATCGAGTGATGACATGCATCGAGTGATGACATGCATCGAGTGATGACATGCATCGAGTGATGACATGCATCGAGTGATGACATGCATCGAGTGATGAAATGCATCGAGTGATGACATGCATCGAGTGATGACATGCATCGAGTGATGACATGCATCGAGTGATGAAATGCATGTGCTTGCTTGCTTGGTGTTGCAGACCATATGGTGGGAATCCTCGAGGTGACTTTTGAGTCGACTCAAAAGTCACTTGGTGTTGCAGACCATGTGGTGGGAATCCTCCAACCAAACACTCAACAGCATGTTCGGCTCTTTCTGTGGCCCTTGTGCTTCCCACAGTGATGTGAGCGGCAACAGCCTGTATGGGCGCATCAACCGCGGCTTCAAGGGCATGGTGGCGATCAGCGGCGCACCAATCTAACCTCCATGTGCCGCCCCCCCACTTCTTCCCACAGTGATGTGAGCGGCAACAACCTGTATGGGCGCATCAACCGCGGCTTCAAGGGCATGGTGGCGATCAGCGGCGCACCAATCTAACCTCCATGTGCCGCCCCCCCCACTTCTTCCCACAGTGATGTGAGCGGCAACAGCCTGTATGGGCGCATCAACCGCAACTTCAAGCACATGGTGGCGAACAGCGGCGCTTTAATCCAACCTCCATGTGCCGCCCCCCCCCTCCCCCTCTTCCGTGCCTCCCACCCATAGTGATGTGAGCGGCAACAGCCTGTATGGGCGCATCAACCGCGATTTCAAGCACATGGTGGCGAACAGCGGCGCCCTCGTCAACCTGGCTCGCAACTTCTTCTTTGGGGAAGCCGTGCTCTTTGCTGCTGGCTGCAAGGTCTGCCCCACCGAGGTCAGCGAGCCCAACAGCCTCGGCCTCAAAGACACCTCCAACTGGCGAGTCTCTGACGGCAATTGCAACAATGCACTACCCTCTTACCTACTACAAGACTACGCCGTGACAGGGGCCGGGCTGAAGCTGAGGGTGAGTCTGTCGGGCAACTGCCTGACGCTCAGCCCAAGCACGGAGTGCTCGGTCAACGCCACCCAGCGCAGCACGGCAGCCTGCCAGGCGTTCTGCAGCATCACGGACAACGGCCCGTGTGACGGCCATGGGGTGTGTGTGCCGGCTGACCCCACCTCTGCAGCAGCATCACGGACAGCCTCCCCCTCCAACTTCACGTGCCTCTGCGATGCCGGCTACTCCACTCTCGACTCAGGCAACGGCTCCACATGCGCCATTGTCAACTCCACCACCACCACTGGTAACCTTTGCTTCAATCTTATGAAACTGCCTAGGCTTTCAGCACCGCCTCAGCCTGGCAGCATTGCCCATTCTTACGCGCTGCACCAATACCCATGTCAGCTGGCTTTTCTCCTACACACCTTTTCACTCCTTGCCTTACCTCGACACCTTCGTCTAACCACCGCCCCGATTCCCGTAACCTCCCATTCGTTGGCAGTGTCGTCGCTATCCACGGGTGCCATAGTGGGCATTACTCTAGGCTGCTTTGCTGGCTTCATTTTGCTGGCTTTTGTGGTCACATGGCTGCTGTGGCCCCGTGGACCAAGTGAGCTCTTCATCCCTTCTTCAGTTCCATTCATTTCCGTCTCCCCTATTGCTGTGCCTGTTTTCTGGCCTCCTTCCCTCCCCAGCTCTGCCATTATTACTGCATTTCAGCTCTGTCTCTTCGTTGCTCTCATATTCTGTCTACTCATTTACTCCCCTGGTCGTTCATCCCCCTTGTCCTCATGTGTGCGCAGAGAAGTGGGAGGGGTTGGATGTGTGTGAGCAGTTCTCGCTGCAGCAGATGCTAAAGGCCACCAACAACTGGTCGGAGGACAATGTGCTGGGCAAGGGAGGCTTCGGCATTGTCTACAAAGGCCGCTCGTCACATGGCCAGCTGTGGGCCATCAAGCGCTCCACCATCATGACCAACGACTTTGAAACGGAGGTGAGGCAAAAATTGGTACTTGTCAGAAGACATGCACTGGGGATTTTCCGATTGATCCTAAGGAACGGTTATAGACACGTTTGTCTAGAGGTTAAGGGTTCACTCACCCATTTTATGTCAGTGTTGTAGTGGCTGAAATTCTGACATGGTATCAGAGCGAAGGTCTTGGATTCGAATCGTGTGCTCACATGTTGGCTTTCATGTGTCTCTGCTGCTATACCGTGTTCTAGGGCATCCCAATGACAAAGGGGTGTCAGTAGACCTGCACTGAAAATCCCCGATTGATCCCAGGAAAGAGTTCCAGGCACGCTTGCCTAGGAAATTATGGGTGCACTCGCTACTCAACAAGCCATTTTATCCCAGTAATGTAGTGTGTGGGGTTCTAACAATACTCCATTGTTTTCAGAACGTCGACCTGCACATTCAGTGCGCGCATTCTGTTTTTCAAAATGCTGACTTGTAGCCCATACGCATCCCCCTGCATTGTGTTCCATGTCCGTGTGGCAACTGCCGACCTGCATATTCAATGCCCACCTTTCCTCGGCCATGTGCGTCTGCCTGTATTGTCTTCTCACTATAGGTGCGAACCATGGCGTCTCTCCACCACACACACCTCGTGCGCCTGCTGGGCTTCTGCCTGGACCAGAACGTGGAGACGGGCAAGCAGGAGCAGATTCTGGTGTACGAGTTTATAGGCAACCGGGACCTAGAGTGCCATATCCATGCAACCAAGCGTGAGTTGCACAGCCACAATGACGAAATGGATGCCATGCGGTTTTTTCTTTTTCTCTTTCTGTTTTGCACAAGACATGACACCATCACTAAAAAAGCCATCATTCATAACTTATTTTTCATTTTTCACTCGCTTCTTGGTGTACATATTTCATGACCTAGGTCCGCTGTCGCTGCGCCAGAGGTTGCGCCTAGCACAGGGAGCAGCAGAGGGCCTGGCGTACCTGCATGGGTTTGACACACCCATCGTTCACCGCGACATCAAGCCGGCCAACATCCTTGTGTCTGCCGACATGCAAGCCAAGGTGGCTGACTTTGGGCTGCTCAAACGCCTCACTCACGGCGATGCTGATGCCACGCGAGTGGCCGGCACTCCGGGATATGTGGATCCGGATTACAACCGCACCAACGTCATCACAGCCAAGAGTGACGTGTTCAGGTGAGCATGTGTGCTCGTTCATTTGCACAACGCCATGAACTTGTGCACCTGTGGTTATGAATCATCTAGGTTATGTTGGAAACTTGTACCCGGTACCTCTCCCCATTGTTTTCCAAGTTCATTTCACTACTTCCAATGCATGGTTGCTTGCAGCTTTGGAATCGTGCTTCTTGAGTTGCTGAGTGGAAAGCCGCCACGAGTCGACGCAAAAACGCATATAAGCAAATGGGTATGATAACAAACTGTTGAGTCTGCTAAGAAACAAGTCAATGGTTATGAGACAATGTTCATGCCCATTTACTCTCAAGTTTATGCTATGCTCGCACAGTTATCCTTAATTCCTTTTATACTGACTTTCACTCCCTTTCTTGTTGCTATGCTCCCTTCCACCACCTTTCCTGCTTACTGGGAATATACGCTCAGACCCTAAAGCGTATAGCGTATATACGCTAGCGTGTGTCCGCAAAACGCAATACGCTAGCAAAACGCAAAAAGGGCAAGAAAACTGAAAGCAAGTTGGCAAACGTTGAGAAGTGAATTGCCGCAGCCTAAATGTCTAACAGCAACTGAACTGTGTTTCGTGCGGATGCAACAGGTCAGTTTCGGTTTCAGGGTTGGTAAGTGAATCCGGTTCCGCCGTACGACACGAGGCGAAATGTGGCAGATCAGATGCATTGCATGAAGCTCCCAACTCATTTTTAAATGCTAGAAAAGTTTTGTTTGCGTTGACTAGTGCAATGCCCTGTTTTAAACAACATGTAACTTTTACAAACTTCTCCTGCCACATCTTTTCCCTAACGGCAGTGAAAGGTTATTGCTAAATCAAGACAGCGAGACTGGACGACAAAGTGGAAGGAGAGTGACAGTGACATTGATCGCTCGCAAGAAAAACATTGGCTCGTAAGGCGAAGAGTGTCTGCATGGCATGAAATACAGTATTTGCAGTTTGGTGAGGGAGGAGAGCCAGGCCAGTCCGTCCAGAGTGCCAGTGAGACCGCTGCCACTCGTACCAGCATTCAACCCAAAAGCTCTGCATGCACATGGGGCATGCAGGCAGCAACAGTGCACATGAAGGGTGCACGCAGGAACAACGATCAATCAAGCTGGAGAGAGCAGAATCAGGGGGTGCAGAGGAGTGAAGGAGGGTGGTAGATGGGCATATTGGATGGACAGGGCCTGGTGCAACATGTAGTTGACCTGGTTTGGAACAATGGAAGAGCAGAACTCACAGGTGGGTGAGGTGAGTGAGAGTGGCGAGGGATGGAATGGGCCCAAACAGATTAAAGTAGGTCAGATCACTGTGGGATGGGATGGGATGGGAGCGCATGAACAGCAGTGGAGATGGCAAGAGGAGCATAAATTGGAGTCTTGAGATCCGTGGCTGGCATTGAGGTTTTGCAGCTTGTGCGGCTAGTGCGCAAGGGAGGCATGCAAGGATTATTTAGGTGCCTCAAAAATCGTCTTGAGATCTGTGGCATTGAAGTTTTTCAGCTGGTGGTACGGCTAGTGCCAAGGGAGGCATGCAATGGCTAGAAGAGGGTATGGTCAGTTGTGTTGTGTGGCATGTGAATGCGAGAACGAGATTGAAGGGCAGAGCAGTACGAGGTTGGGGCGAGGCCATGGCAAACGAAGGAAAGGAATGATAGATGCAATGCAAGATGGATGTAGACTGTAGTGGAGAGAGAGGGAGGGTGGGTGGGTGGGTGGGTGGTGACGCACAGGAGTTGCAGAGTGGAAAGACCGGTGATGGAGGCAGGTATGGAGGGCCTGGGGGAATTTCCAGCAGGCTGCATTAGATTTGAATCCCTGTAAACACACGCATGCATGCACGCAATACCAACCAGCTCCCATTCCTCCCCCATCTCCCGCCCACCCCAGTTCCCTTCCCCAGATATCCAGTCCTCCCCCATCCCACCCCCCACATCCTTCAACCCATTCCCCCCCTTGTCCGGATTGCAATGCTCCAGCATACACACAAGAGGAGCAGACAGCGGAAGGGCGATACAGTGAAACACTGTGGGGGAAAAGAGAGTACTGAGGGGGCGTAGTATCGCCCAGTGCCTTAGAGTCTTAGACAAGGTTGGCCAAAACGAGGGTTATTCAGCGCTACAACAGTCCCCTTGTAACCCGTTGGTGTAAGACTGGAGGCATGACACCCGTGCTGCCCTGGAGTCAAACGTCCTCGTTGGATCAGGGGATCGGCTTCGCAGGAACCTCGGAGTTGGGTTACAACATTCAAATTTTCGCTCCACCACAATTTCAGGCGAATAACTAGGCTAGCTGGATTCGAACCCTAGGCTATGGACGTGTTAATAAAGGGAACCGCGAGTGGCGGAACGGTTCTCACAGGCAAACGACGAGCCCGTTGGGGCTGCAGGTGACGCCATCCCATGCAATGCAGTGCGCGCAATGGGACTCACAGGGAAACGACGAGCCCTTTGGGGCTGCAGGTGACGCCATCCCATGCAATGCAGTGCGCGCAATGGGACTCACAGGGAAACGACGAGCCCTTTGGGGCTGCAGGTGACGCCATCCCATGCAATGCAGTGCGCGCAATGGGACTCACAGGGAAACGACGAGCCCTTTGGGGCTGCAGGTGACGCCATCCCATGCAATGCAGTGCGCGCAATGAGACTCACAGGGAAACGACGAGCCCTTTGGGGCTGCAGGTGACGCCATCCCATGCAATGCAATGCGCGCAATGGGACTCACAGGGAAACGACGAGCCCTTTGGGGCTGCAGGTGACGCCATCCCATGCAATGCAGTGCACGCAATGGGACTCACAGGGAAACGACGAGCCCTTTGGGGCTGCAGGTGACGCCATCCCATGCAATGCAGTGCGCGCAATGGGACTCACAGGGAAACGACGAGCCCTTTGGGGCTGCAGGTGACGCCATCCCATGCAATGCAGTGCGCGCAATGAGACTCACAGGGAAACGACGAGCCCTTTGGGGCTGCAGGTGACGCCATCCCATGCAATGCAGTGCGCGCAATGAGACTCACAGGGAAACGACGAGCCCTTTGGGGCTGCAGGTGACGCCAGCCCATGCAGAGCACGTGGTGGTGGCGTTGCTGTTGCCCGCCCACATGCCCCACGCCGCATTCAGCTGCAGCAGCACCTTCACTGCCGGCACAACGTGGAAAAGAGAGCACAATGAAGGATGTCGGGCATGATGGTGTTGAAAGGGTTTCCCCAGGGTTTGGCTCGGTCCTCTTCACGCCCGAAGTGCCACAAGAAGCACTGACAAATACCAGAGGGTTTGTGGACTCAGCAGTAAATGTAAGTGTATGTCAACAGTCAACCATGCATACGAGCTGTGTTGTTTACACAATCTCATACCTTAGTCATGTGGGTGGAATACTCCTTTGCAAGGGTCGCATCTCGAGAGTATCGTTGTTGATCCTCCACGTTGCGTGCCGGAGCACCCACTAACATGTTGTCAAGGTCCCTAATGCTGATCTTGCATATGGAGCATGGACGAGCTGATGCGTGTTGCAACGTGCACGTGACTTTGCACGTTTCAGGATAGTCCGCCACATACACGAACATCTTGGGCCACACGGTGTACGCCTCACCGGTCGGATCAAGTAGAGGAATCGATCTACAATGGAAAGGGTTAAATGGATCAAGATGGTGTATGCAACACGGCTTTCACATCCTGTTACTAGCTGTTCTAAGTATCGGAGTTACCAAGACTAGAGCAACAACTTACTCTTTGCATGCTGCGTCAAGAGACTTGAGCACAACTTCGCAGCATTTCTGGAAGAGCTCTGTCTTTTGACTTGGCTCCATTTCAGGATCCGGCAACGGTAGGAGAGCAATCAGGGCATGACCATGTTCCTGCCACCTGGTGCTAAGTGGTAGATTGGCAAAGGACAAGTATACAGGCCAGGCTCTGCACCTCTCATTACCACTCAAATGAGTCTCATCACTTGAGAGAATGAGTGGACAGATGCACTCCCGCGGACCAAGCCCATCCTGCCAAACACATTTCAAGATTATCACACTGATTGCCAAGTACATTGAAGTGTGATGGCGTAGTGGGCCACACACCATTGACAACACTAGCACTATATGTTGTAAGTGCGCTTTGGAAATGCAACCAGGGATGAAATTTAGGCAGCGCGCTAACGTAGTTGCTGAGATGCCACGTAACCATGGGCAGTTCCATGCTATAGCCTGATCGTACAAGTTATGGGCATGTTAACCGATATATCGACATGCAAGATGCATACCTGAGCATCAATCCAGAATGATGCTGTGTGAGCCTCAGCGTACACTCTCTTGTTGTTGACATCCAGCTTCTCTGCCGCACGATGTACAAACCCAGAGGCGTTTCGAGGATCCGCCCACATGCGCCTCAATGCCTGCGTGTTAGCGAAGGTATGATAGTGATCTTCCTATGACGGAGGAGACATGGTTTAGAAGAACTTTCAACTTACCTCAACCCCATCAAGGAACTTGACGGTGAAAGACTTAGGCCATCCCGCCACCCTGATCACAGCCGTTTTGAACTTAATCTTCTCAATCCTGAGCTCTTCTTCGGCGAATTTGTCAACGGCCGCCTTCCCAGCCCAGTCAGCTATTGCTTGCCTATCAAACTTAGGGTGGTTGAGTAGGCGGAAAAACTCTACAACATCAGGTGCACTAAGCCCAGCCCCACGGTTGCAGTGCGCAATGAATCTAAACACCTCAAAACGGGTATCAAAAGTTGCTTCTTCTTCCTCATCGTCAGCAAAGAAAGCTGCGGCGGGGAAGAATTCTGCATCTGGCAGCCCATCCTCCAGCCCGCTTTCAACAGTCTCGTGTATGGACACATCTACTGGATCGTCGGGGCTGGGTAGGGTGCTCCAATCTACACCTGAATATGTTGGAACTAGGATACTAGGGCTCCTACGATATTCTGGAAGTGGATCATCGTCGTGAGTTCTTTCGTGATTGGATACAGCGTTTACACTACTGAAGCGAAGCCTACAAAACCTGCAGGCATAGAAATCCATAT